TGCCACCCTTTCCCAGTAGGTGCCTCCATCACACCAGCTTTTCCCCCCTCTGAACTGGAAACTTCAAATTCAGTAAAAGCCAGTGTTCTGCTTTTTAATCAACTCTCAAACTGATAATATTCTGTGTTGGAAAAGGACATAGGGCACAGGCACACAGTTCCAAAACTGATAGAGATATTAATTGCCCTCCAGAAAGAAATGAATTAAACTGGCATACAATATGTATCATACCAAAAACCTTATAAATTGCTCTATACACTGACACCCTGTGATATTACTTCCTAAGTATTATCCTAGGGTCATAGGATATTTTCACAAAAATACAATGAAGGAACGAACTATCACAGGGCTCTTACAATGGAATTCCAAGTAGCCATTTTTAAAGGAGAGAGAGCGTGTGTGTAAGGAAATAAAATCTCCAGTGAAAGATATCCACAAAAAGGCACTCTGGATCCAGAGTGCTTGACTCTGAATCCCAGCTTTTTTACTTACTGGTTGTGTGAACTTGAATAAATTACTTACTTTATTAAAGTACTTAACTGTACTTAAAATAGTAATGGTGCATATCTCAAAGGAGGGTTGTGAAGATATGTGGATTATACATTCATAATATTGTATATTGTATGAATTGTGAAGGGATACAGAATAGTATGTATAGTTTAAGTCCATTTTTGTAGGAAAAAAATATAAAACCCTATACATAGACCTGTAAAAAAACCCTGAAAGGCTATACTATATACCAAAATATTAACAGATTCTACTTAAAATTAACTCTCAAAGTTGGGCAGGTGGGGCAGTGTTTAATGCCATAAAAGTATCTCCAATAAGATTTAGTCCTATATGGAACCAGAAGAAGAGCTTGATTTGGGATTGGGACACTGCAACTTGAAGCCCCTTCACTAGGAGGAAAGTTCTCCAGGTGTACTGCCAACTTCAGCTGCAAGGCCCTGAGAACAACTTGAAACATACAGTGCTGGATTCCTTCCTACCCAGCTGGGCTCCAGAGCTGTGGGAGCTTAGCTCCTGTTCACCTCTTGAGGCTCCAGTCCTAAGAGACAAATTAAGTGCTTGCCTTGGATACGGACAGGCCAGGGTGGGAACTTCAGCTTTGTGCCTAAGTATTCTTGGGCAAGTCATTTAACCTCATTTGAGTCCATTTTCACAGCTGTATAAAATGAGGAATAACTACTTTTAAGGATTATTGAGAATTCAAAGATCCAGTTTATGGAAAATAACAGAACATTGGGTTATGTATGAATTTTCCCTCTCTGGGCCTCCTTTTCCTCACCTTGAAAATGGGGAAAATAGTACCTACTTCATAAGGTTGTGAGGATGAAAATAGGGAAAGCCCAGATTAAGTGCTCAATAAATGACAGATACTGTTTTACTCAGGATCATCTTTAAAATGCAGGAAGAGCAAATTAGGGCTCCCTGTACCATAAGTACTCCCCCTGCTCCCAAGAATAGCTAAGGTCATTTCTTCCTGGATAGGTGGGTTAGGTTTCCCCCTGGGCTTCAACTCCAGAACTGCAGAGAAGGGCCTGGACCACAAGGCCTCTGAGACCTCAGTCTGCACACTCTGTTCTTTCAGCTGATGCTCCCACCTTTTGGAAGCCAAAGCTGCCAACTTGGCCTCTTGCAAAACACACATTCCATTTATAAGTGCGTTTGTGCATTTTTCCTCCCACACCCTTCTAGGCAGCCAATGCAGAGCTGCCAAGGCAGCTGCTGGAGAAGCAGCTTCTCATTTAGGGGGGAAAAAGCAACTTCAAGGGCTTTTACAGAACTCATGGTTTAGATTTTGAACATGTTACTTCCATTTTCTGACCTCCCTGAAGTGGGGTTGTGCAGGACACTCAGCCATGTTTATTGTTACTTCTTTTTGTCCCCCTTTTTGTAAATAACCTCTTCCACATTATAAAAGAAATCCATTAATGGAAATTTGAAAAACCCAGAAAAATTAAAATCACATCTGATCCTGTCATTAAGAGTTGTCAGCTGCCAATATTTTACAGTCTAACAAACTTTTCCATAATGATGAAATTCCATTGTTCAAAAGCAGAGTTTTTAGTGGATGTATAATATTCTAGCACTGAGGTATGCCATAATGTCTAAACAGTATCCTGTTGTTGACACTTAAGTTGTTACCAAATGATATTATCAATTATATCCTTGCACATACATCCTTGGCAGATATTTCTTTAGGAAAAGCTCCTAAGTGAAATTATTGGGTTAGAGAGTATGAACATAAGGTTCTTTTAACTCCAGCAAGGCTTTTACTCTATTTAACTAGCATGGATTTGTTTCAAATCTTTGGCAATTTCATAGGTTTTCAAAAAGAAAAAAAGTTTGGCCAGTTATTTTTCTTCAGTGAGTTGTGCATATCCTTTGCCCATTTTTCTGTTGGGAAGCCAAGTACTTTTCCACACTGAATTTTTAAGGGCTCCTTATGGATTAAGTATATGGTGCCCATTTATAAATTATTGCAAAAATGTTTCTAGTTTGCTTTTTATATTAAGGTACATAGATTTTAGGAGTTTCATTTTGTGATTTCTTCTATTTGCTTTTATGCTTGGAAAGCATTAATTGATGCAGAGATAAATATAATATCCACTGACAAGTTTATATATTTCAAATGACTTAATTTCTACACTTCATAGCCTTATTCTTCCTGGAATTTATTTTGGCATAAAGTAACTTTCCCCCAAATATTTAGATAATTTTAGCCAATTATCTTTACTTACCCAATCAAGGAGAATGCCATCTTTATTAAATTTAAGTCTATGTGTATGTACTAGAGCCAATATCCATGTTTTCTTCTGTCCTTTCATGCACACTAGTACCATACCATTTTGTAGCTCTGTATTTTACTATTCTAGCAATTTCAGCAGCAACATTCCAGATAAGCACAGGGTCCATGGAGAGTCCCCATCAGTATGGATTACAAAACCTACAGATTTGTGCTGCTATATTCCACTAGAACTTTTTTTTTTTTTTTTTTTTTTTCAGAGTCTCGCTTTGTTGCCTAGGCTAGAGTGCGTGCCGTGGCGTTAGCCTAGCTCACAGCAACCTCAAACTCCTGGGTTCAAGCAAGCCTCCTGCCTCAGCCTCCCAAGTAGCTGGGACTACAGGCATGCGCCACCATGCCCGGCTCATTTTTCTGTATATATTAGTTGGCCAATTAATTTCTTTCTATTTATAGTAGAGACAGTCTCGCTCTTGCTCAGGCTGGTTTTGAACTCCTGACCTTGAGCAATCCGCCCGCCTCGGCCTCCCAAGAGCTAGGATTACAGGCGTGAGCCACAGCGCCCGGCCTAGAACTTTTTTTTTTTTAGCATCCCAGAGTCCAAAGACAGAATCAGGGTCAGAATATTGCATAGAAAGAAGCTTAAATAAACCCAGGTAGAGGCTTTATGGCTTTTTAAAGACAAGGCATCCTCAAAGGTTAGGCTCCCTAACCTCTCCTTCCCAGACAGAGTAACCTTGTGACCTAGGTCAATGCCCATAGCTAGAGGAATAACTTCCAGAGCCAACCCAACCATGTACTTTGGCAATTGGATTTGAAAGGTGGGAAGAAGCTGAGGTGACTCTTCTGTGCTCCTCTGAACCCTCAGCACCACCTTCAGTAGATAGAAAAAGTACACTCCATTTGCAATTAAGTCCATCTGGTAATTGTGTTAAGTTTTTTTGCCCCTCTTCTAACCGAAAATAGGATTTTAGCCGTATGTAACCTGCATAGCACTTTGAATGCTCCAGGCTCAGTACAAGCCCCCAAATCAGTATCTTCCACTTTATTTCCTTAACCTGTTTATAAGGTTCTGGCTCAATAACTCAGAAGAAACAAGCCTAAGAGCCAACTGGGGAATGTTCTGGAGACAAAAAAGTCACCCCCTAGTTTTCCTTCCAGTCCCCACCTGGGTTCTGACCTTGATGATAAGGGAGGAGGGGGGAAAAACTCTAGATCACTGAGGAAACTTAAGACACTTCTGCCTAGCTAGTGAATGATAGCTGTGACTCCCAGGGTCTTTGCAACTGAAAAGAAAAAACCCATCTACTCCCTCCACTATACTTACTTATATTTAGGAGATACCAACATGAGGCTGGGAATTTTGGGGACGGCCAGGAGGTCCTCCATCAAAGAAATGAGTAAGATGACCATCAACAGCTTTCCTGAATGTAAGTAACTAGACAGAAAATACAATGGAAGGAAGCTAAGGGTCTTAAGTGGTCTACTGTAATCAGACTTCTAGAGTATAAGATGGGAGCGTCAGGTCATGTTAGTCTGAGCTTCTTCCCCAACCTCAATTTGGCACAGAGAGAAGGTGAGCTCCTAAGAGGGGCTGTGTCTTGTGAAAAGTCACGTATGACCAACCCCATCTCCTAGTCTGTGGATTCTCTGCATTGCTCACCTAACATCCTTTTGGAGAACCTTAAGAGAGCTTGTAATGATTGAGCACTTATGTGTCTTCGGTGCTTCATAAAGACTTTCTTTTAAATTCTAATACTGTGACGGAAGTCAGTGCCTTAATTTTACAGGCGAGTAAAAGGAAACTTAGAGGTTTGCTAAACTGCCAGAGATCACACAGCAGTGGCACTTGACAGTTAAAGCCAAAGTTCAGCTTGTCTCTTTTGCCTTAATCACCACCACCACACTGATAGATCTAGGAGTCATGTAGTTAACACAGTGCTCAAATTCTATTTTTATTCTTCATAGGAACTCACATCAGTTGCTAAGTTAAGACTATTTGGGTAATGGCCTTGTAAGAACTCATTTGCTTTGCCTGTAAGTACTGGAATCCCCAAAGCACCCCATTAAGCTTGGTGTGTGGGAGGTGGGCACCAGCATTTAGAGTTTGGGGTTCATATAGTATCTGGATTGTTTCCCGAAGCATAGGAATTGTTATACAATATCATATTGGTGGAGGCTCCCAGTGGGTAGTTTAATCTTGCCCCAGAATAAAGCCACATTTTGTTTTGTTTTTTTGTAGAAATGTTAATAGTCAAGTAAACAAATTTATTAAATCCAACAGCAGGTAACCTTCCAAATAAAAAAACATTAAAAGAAAAAAATAATGTAGACATCAAAGACAAAAATGTGTGTAACAAGTTAATAAAAATATTCAAGGGGCCATTTGGAGAGTGCAACAGTGCAGAGAATACAAACAAAAGTATTAACTTTTGTCAAGTTTGTACAACCTCAAGAAACAGACACACTGGTCACAAACCAAGAGGGATCCACAAAGGTGGAGGGTCACATGAGCAGTGGACTCATCACCTCAGCGGCTTAAGGCAGGGTATCTGTGGGACCAATTCATCCAAGCCCCATTTGCCTATTGCTTCACATTCCCCCTTTGAATTAGTGCAACAGGTAAGAGCAATTAATTACAGACTGGGAGCTGGGGACCAGGTTCAGAAGGAAGACATTTCTCCCAGAGCTAATGTATGTGTGTGTGTGTGTGTGGGGGGGGGGTGATGGGGATCTGCAGCAGCTGCTGAATGGCTTCCTTTGGCAATATCCAAGATTTGTGTTGAAAGTATCAAGAAAAGAAGATGGGTGGTGGAAATAGGCATCTGAGAGCAGGTTGGGTTTCCAAGAAGAGAGGAATAGGGAGGACATGCCCTAGCACCTGAATCAGAAGCAGAACCCAATGGTTACTCAAATCTATTCAAACCACCTTGGCTTCTGCAACCAGTGCCCAAACATCTATTTATTTCATCCTTCGGAGGTGGTGGGGGGAAACCCTGCTGATCCTCACCAATGTGCAGTCCCAGTCCAGATTAAACTGGATATATGTTAATACCATAGGAATAAACTTTGAAGGGGGTTAGAAGGGGTGGGAACCCCATTTATATGACTCAGAAAACACTGTTTAGTAAGAGGAGGTTCAATGTCACATGTCCTCAAATGAGTCCCAATTAACATACTTCAATAACTTTAATAGTCCTTTCAGCCATTTAAACAAGATATTGCTGTAGTCCCCCAAGGAAGACCTTTGTCAGTTACCAAGATGTTCAAGTCATAACTAACCAAACATAGGAGACACAAGAAAAACAGCAAAGCAGGCTACTTAAAAAAAAAAAAAAAAGCAAAAACCCTAGCAGCAGCTTTCTTCCAGCCTTTATCTTGTAATTGTATAATTACTCTACCTTTGGGGCTTTGCTACACTGAAATTTCACTTGAAATATGGCAAAATAAACGGCCCTAGACATATGTTTTGAATTGTAAACTTTTAGACCAGTCCTTATCCCAATAACTTCCCACCATTGTTTAATACAAGTTGGCATGGTGTATATAGCATAGGAAGCCATCAAGTAAACTATGGCATGCAACACCTTGCAGCCTATAGCACTGAGGACCAGATTTTGGCACCAGCCCCTGGGAGATTAGTACTGTTTCAAAGACTAATACTGTGTGGCTTAATCCTTTCTTACTTTCCAAGAAGGCTGGTTTGAGCCTTCTTTAGGGAAGTTCAATATTAAAAACACTGCCTTATACATTTTTAATTATATTTCCCTGGGCTTGGAGGTTTGGTTGAAATTTAGATCTTCACCAGTTCTAGATTTTTCTTCTTCCCTTATCAGAAGAGCAGATAAGAGTTTCTGGACTCAACTCACACATGTGGGCACATCTGGCAGGATGAGGGGAGAGCTGCTGAGGAAATCAGCTGAAGGATAGCAAAGCATCAGTACAGAAGGTGGGGTTGACAATGATACATTCAAATTTGGCAATCCAGCATGAGGGAGAGAGCAAGTCAATGAAGCAATACTTCAACTCATACCAGCTTTCTAATAAATTGCTAAAGAAACACCACAGAATCTCACAAAGCCATTTGCTAAAACCAAGTAATCTCCCAACACAAATATTCAGTTTGTGGTAGTCACCCTTAGATGTGCCTGTCTTCAAAATGGCATCCACATCCTGTCCTCCACAGCACACGGGTGTGACATTGCTAAGGAGGGGTGCACTGGCTTTATCTGAGGGGCATTTGTCTTCTCTACAGAATTACTGCTTACCCATTACGCAGCAAATCTATTTCTAAGGTTGAGAGGAACAAGGCTTTTCGTTTCGCAGAAGTATAACTGCAGGCCCTACACATACCTCACCTTGGATCCGTTTGCAAAAAAACTGCTCTTCCTGTGCTCATGAAAGAGTCAAGCATTGGCCCAGAGCTACTGTAGAAGCTTGAAATCCAGGACTAAAACCTGGAAGAAACTTGTAAGTCCCTTCCTGACTGCTCCCTTTTCTGGCTTCTCATTTGCATTTCTGTAACAAATGGACCATTAAAACCATAACCAAAAATAATTTTTAATTGGCTCTTTTGTGGGGGGTGGCAGAGCTGAATAGTTAATTTAAAAATAAAACAAAAGCCACCCACTCTAATACACTTAATGTGTGGAATGTGTTCTCATAGGCTGGGGAAGGAATCTAGTTCCTCCAGAGTCCTTAGCTGCCTCCCTCTTCTGTGCACCTCTCTCCCATGCACCCTCCTCATATGGGACAGAAAGAGCATTACCAGGTAGCAGCAGCCTGCTTTTCCCCTCATTCAACCTCTACCCAATCCAGAACTGGGAAAATCAGGTTGCAAACTGGCTGGATGAAAAGGTGGTCCTTTTAAGACCTCAGTCTGGGTACCTCAACTGCAGTTGAGTCCACAGAACCTGCTCGGGCCCCTGGAAGCTCTCATATAAGGGTCTTGTGTCTTATTTAGCTAGAACAAAGCCAGACATCTGGCCAAAGACCCCCTTCAACCTTCCAGTATTGTGAACCTACTGGTGATGCTTTTAAAATTTACCATCTGCCCTGCTGAAAGGAGGAACTGTCAGGTTTAGAATTTTTAAAAAAAGCAAATTCCAAGTATGTTCTCTATATCAATATCAATTTTATAAAAACATCGACTGCTGAAACTCCTTAAATAATCATCCTTGTAAAGATGGGAGCCCAGAGCTGTAAGGCTACTAATATAGGAAATCAAAACGTGCAATTCCTGCCCAGGTTGAAAAACATACCTGGCAGGTAGAGGGGAGAAACTCCAAATGTTTAATAGACAAAATCTCATTACCTCAAGAGTATAAATATTTTTTGTAAGTTTTTATTTAAAAGATTCCCTTTTTAATCTGTTCCAAAGTGTTGGAAGCTGAACTACACAAGTTCCTGCCACCCACCTGTCCAGTACAGTTTTTTAAGGACATATTTTTTTAAATGGAAAAATAACAAGAGGACCCTCTACTGAAACCAGGTAGGACCAGAGTCAGCTCCTCTGCCCCTGTGGCAGTCTGGCCAAAGCCAGCCTTCTGGAGCAAGCACGCAAGGAGTCTGAGGACTGGGCCCTCCCTCTTATGAGGAAAGGGCTAACCAAAGTCATGTTCTTCTTAGTGAAAATGGTCCAAATTCATATTTGAAAACCTCCGTAATGACATTCCCTGGCACTCTTCTTATACTTTATATATTGAAGGCAGCTCCCTCTTTTATGGCCAGTTTTAGCAGGCAAAGAAACAAAGGAATATAGATACATATATGTGTATATATATATATTTTATATAGGTAAAATATATACATATTTTATATATGTATATATACATTTTGGGGGTAGGGAAAGGAGAGGAGGATCATGTAAACCTAAACAGTCATCACATTACCCCAAATGAGCCTGACATTAACAAAAAGATAATAAATAACTCCTGGGGGTTAAGTGACAACATGGGTGCAGCAAGAAGGGAAAGGGCACACATTTAACTATTAAATACACTTTGATATTTGTTTGGCAGAGTTCAAGCCAACCCCAGGCTTCTGCACTTGCCAGACAAGTAAGCTGATGATATCTCAAAGAAAAAAAAAAAAAAATTCAAGCAGAGCTCCATACCACAGTTTTCCTTCAAGTCAGTTGGCCGGCTGGCACAGTTTCCCGACCACCAGGAACAGAAACTTTGGCTCCAAGGCAAATGGGAAAAAAAAAAAGGTATTTCCACTTTCAATATGAAAATACAGAAACTTCATCAAAGAAAGAAAACTATCAAAGAAGTCTACTTCCAGCAAAACTGAGGTAGCACTGCTTTCTCTGCATTCAATGCTTAAGTGGTTCTCAGTACAGTATGTTCTTTTTAAAAAAAAAACTGCTCACTTGACTGACAGGTACAGCATGTTGATGGATAAACTCAACATGAAATGCAATAGGTCAAAGGAGGAATGAGCAAGAAGTGAGGGAAATAAGGGTTTTGGATAAATTAGCTTAAAAGGGGGTTGTCACCAGACTATAAACACTCTTGGTGGGCATGGGCTCTCCAAGAGCTCTAAATGGTCTGGGAATTAATGCAATGTGGTTAACAGTTAACACTGCTATTCAAATCTGTGTAAATCTTTAAAAATAATTATTACAACCTAAATTCAACCATGTAAACAGCACTACACACAGTACAGACCTGCCCTGAAAAACAATATGCAAAACTGAGATCTGGCACTGTATCATTTTGTAATGTTAATTCAACCTAACAGTCCCATCCCCCACCCTGTTCTACACCCTCCCCCACACAAAAAAATCTAATTTGTGCAAGAAATGGCAGGCTTATTCTATCTGAAGGCTTCAAAAAAAGGTACACAACATGTAGCCAGGTTCAAATATTTTGGGGGACCCCCCAAAAAAGAAATAACCAAAATAACCAAAAAATGAAGAAAGTGCCTAAAACATGATACAGCATTTTAGAGCCCTTTCAGATACAAGGCAGAGAAAGGTGTAAAGTAGAAAATATCCGGATCTTCAGTAATTTCCACAAAGGTCCAATTCCTCGGTTGGCTGCAGGGCAGCGGGCAGATCCTTGCTGCTGCTCCTGGGACAGAGCCACTAAGTCTGCTCCTCGGGACACAAGCCCTCGGGCCCTGAGCTGAGTGCACCTCTCCCTTCCCCTTCTCTTTTCCTTCGCTCCATTTCCCACTCCACAAAGGTATCGAAGAGACTTGGCCAGGCCTCATCCTCACTGTAGTTGCTGAGGTCGGGGCCAATCACCTGAGTGAAGTTAAGGAACATGTTCCAAGTGTCTCGGGAGATGCCCTTGATCCCCGAGGGGTTCTCTGTTAGGAAGTTTAGCCACTGGTCCAATACGGGAGGATTGTTCTGGGTAAAGACTAGTTTCCACAGGGCAATGGCTATTTCCCGATGCAGTGACCGCTGCCCTTCTTCAGAGTCCAGGCCAAACTGAAATGTAAACCGGTAGAGATCCTTGAATTTATCCTCTTGTTTGGCTTCCGTTAAGAGGCTAGGGAACCGTGCACAGATTCCGTCAATGCTGTCTGCACTTATTGCTTTGCAGCCATCAAAAAACTCCTTCCTGCAACAGGAAGGAGAGGGCACAATTAATAATTATAAACTATATCATTTACTGAGAGGCAATACAGCATAGTGGTTAAGAGCAGAGCATGGCTTGAGGCCACATGGCCTGGATTTGAATTCCAACTCCTCCACTAATTAGTCCTACTTCCTTATCTGTCAAATGGTGACAATACCACCCTACTTCACAGGGTTTGGGTGAGGACTAAACAAATTAATAAACACTAACTGCTTCTAACAGTGCTGGCACATGATAGGCAGCTGGTAATGGTTCATTTATTCATTTGTTCAACTTCCCAAAGCTAAACTCAGGTCTCCTACTCCTTGCCCCATTACCATGCAATAGCGATTGAGCTGTAGATTCTTTTTCCTCCCAGAGGGGGAGGCTTCCTGCTTCCCTTCTGATTCTCTGTGGGTTGTTTGTTTGGGGTATATTTTTGGTGATTGCCAAGGGAGACTTTTAGAGGCAGAGATTCTGGATGAACCTAGGTAACTCTGCCACCAGAGATCAAAGTTCTGTTATTAAAAACAAAAGTTGGTTTGTATTTTTAACATCTATACAGCTTATATAGCACACTCTCGCACTGATCATCTTATCAGGGATTGCTGTACCCACTGAAGAAGTGAGGCATCTGAGGTCTGGTGGGTAAGCTACCCGGGACAGAAAGCATGTGAATGAGAAATTCTATAGTTGAGTCTCAAAGTCAGTTCTTATTCATTCACAACCCCATGGTCTGCAAACCACATTTCCTAGGGATGCACGACCATGACAATAGGCACAACTACTATTTCATAACAGGCCAGCTGTCCTTGCCTCATATAGGCTTGGCTGAGGGCAGGAAATATGCTAAGAACTAGAAAGGGCAACTGGCATCATGGAAGGACTGAGGCATAACCCCAGAGGCACTTATTGTATTGGCACTCACAGTGCTTGGCACATGATAGGCACACAATCAATACTGAGTGAGTGAATGAAGTGACAAGGCAAGGAGTGAAAGAAAAGAGGTCCAGGACAGCAGGGAGCTGACCAGTAGCTTGGCAACAGGGCTCACCCTGAGTGAAGTGCCTTCTCACTTAAGGCAAAGATGATCAGTGCCCAGTTATTCAGAAGCTGCCTAGGAATCCTAGGATATGCCTGAAATCCGACCTACAAATTAGGCAAAGGCTTTATTCTGTGAGAAGAAATGTGGGGTACACGTTAGAACCAGATATGAAGCTTTATTAAAATGCAAATGCCTGAGCCTTATCCCCCAAGATTCAGTAGGTCTGCTATCAAGCCAGGTTTATATATTTTAAAACTTTAAGAGTGTCTAGGGGAGCTTCTCCAGATCAGAACCACAACTTAGAACATTTAAGCTTTAGAAAAATTGGTCAGGAAAAGAAAAACTTACCCAACCCTATAAAGCCAAACCTGTTCTATCCTAGCTGGGTACCACCGCCCAGTGGTGCTCTCTTTCCTCCTCTGCTCACCTGGTGACAAGAAGTATTTGTGACTAACCTGGTGAATTTGCACATGGTTGCAGCCTGGAACTTCCAAGCCAAGAGCAGCACTCGAAATTCTGTGGGGTCGACACACAGGTCATTGCAAAAGCGCTCCATGCCTTCCTCCAAAATTGCATCCTCCCGCTCATCCTTGTAGCGCCTAAACAGTTCTTCCAACCTCTGCAAGGAAGACTCCTCAGCATTGGACTTGGATTCCCTCCCAGCATCTCCCGAGGATGTTGGCAGCTGGCAGGCCTCAGTGGCAGCCTCCGCCTTCTTGGTCCCGTTGACCAGGATGTCCCCACCTGGCTTGCCACAGGGTGGCACCTGCTCCTCACGGTGGCCTGCACCCCGTCTGCTGTGTGACTTGCCGCTGGGTTCACGGTCTCCATTCTTGCTGCCCAGGGTTGATGAGGGATTCTTGCACTTGGTGACACACTGGCCCATGGTGCTGGTGGCCCGGCCTTTAGAGTGGCCCCCTCTGGCTCGGATGCCCTCGCTGCCACTGGCCCACGTACCTCAACATGCCATCAGCCAGAGGAGCTAGCCAACCTGGAAGGAACAAAAAGCAGTCACCTCTGGATAGGGGCACTGGGGTATGGGCACGCTACCCTCCAGGGGCTGTGTGTGCGCTGAAGCACTGGTCTATTTCAACGGGCCAGCAACGAACCACGGGCAATACCCGGGTACATCATCTCCGGTGCTATAATTTCACCTGGGGAACACAGAAGCTGAGGCACATGTGGAGAATCAATAAGGGAAATTCCTGAAATTCTTAAGGTAACATAGGTTACAAAGAGGCGGATTCATGTGTAGAACACATCAAAGACTACAGTTTTGACAGAAATATTCCAGAGGAAATCTGTCTTGCCAACTTGCCATCACATAAGAAAGTTATTTGGACCTGGGTTAAGCCAAAAAGCAAAAATAAAAGGCTCATCTAATCTAGTTCCTAATGCTAACATTCTCGTATTTTCTTGTTAAGCAGGATGAGTAGGGAGAAGGGGTGGCCATAGCCAAGACAACTATGCAGTCTCATAATGGCCTCATGAGGTGAAGGATTTGCAGTATCAAGACTACAGGCAGGGGCCTCGCCAAGCAGCAAAGTGAAATTGACCTGGTCCCTCCAGATTCCTTTCTAGGCCTGTCCTACACAGTAGGCGAATGCCCTTCCTCTGCCCTACTCCACCCGCCTACACAAGCCATCCACCAAGCCTGCACTCCAAACTGAGTTTCTCCGTCAGGGAGCTGCCTTTTCTCCCCCCTCAGGTTCTCAGCAAGGCTGTACTCACTAAATGTGATTGTCCTATAGGACCCGTAGGCTCAGGCTTCCAAAGGGGTGTGTCTCCACTTTAAAAGAAGGGCTGATCTTCCCAAATACCATCTCTAAATGGTACGATAATTGCCAGATGAAAAAGAAAAGTCTACACTGATACATAACAAATTCATCATGGTGGTTTATTCATTATTTATGTAATTTAGAAGTGTTTTTTTTTTTTTTAACAAATTACTAGGAATTTCTAAGCCAGATGAGGTGATTTCTCTAAAGACTGCTCTGTCTATTCAGGACTCTTATTCTTACCCCCAACTAGTTTGCTAGAAAAGCCATTTACAATTTAGTACCTGTAAAATTTTGCCAACTGCTATAATAATGGCAGCCATTGTAATGACTTTGTTAGTAGAAATGTGGACCAGGAGCCAGAAATACATCAGGGAACGCAGACACCAAAGTCTATGTCAGCCCCACATGGGCCCCAGTTCTAGGACCTTTCATGGACCTTCCTGATCCAAACTCAAAGCTCTTAGAGGACTGGCAGTGGGGCAGAAGGGTGGTTTTTATGAAAGGCTAGAACTTTAAACTATGCCCAAAAAACTCAGCTCCCTCCACATAGTGCCTGGATAAACTGGAGGTTATCTTCAAGAGAAACTCCCTCTAAGGGTAAACTCTGAGTATATAACAAGTTTAAAATTAAGAGCAGAATCATTCCTGTAGTTACTGGAGATGAATCATATCAGGGCCTGTCCCATTCTCCACCCTCAAAGAGAATAAATGACAAAAAGGCATGTCCGTACATGCTCTCAAAAGACTCTGCAGTTTCAGTTAGCTTCAAAAATACACTAAAACCCTTACAAGGTCTTTTGGTGTGGAAAATGACAGTCCCAAGTAAGTTTTCTAAAGTCTTTTTATGCTTTAAGACTATAGCTAGTAAGCCATAAGTAGAATCTATTAAAATTTCAAAAGGCAAGGGGTTAATTCTTAGAAGACCATCTTACAAAGGAAGCAACTGTTTGAGCTGAATTATCCCAAAAGGAAGGACTATACCATGTGGAGGGTCTGCTTTCCAGATTTGTGTTTCTAAAGACTAGAATGCTGAAAGAAACAAAAGGCCTAAACTTACACAAACCCCACATGCTCACAGACTGGCAACTCTAATTCCCAGGCACGCTGACTCACCAGGGTTTGCTGCTCAGCTCCTGCTGCTGAGGGAGGCACAGGCACCCAGTGAGATAAGAGGATTTCCTGGCCTCCCTCTGACCCACCTACCCCAGGCCACTCACCCGCCCACACTGGACAGATGCTTCATTATAACAACTTCCTCCAAATCCTGGCACCAAGGCCTTCAGGTAGGCACAGAACAGATGGGGCTCCCAAAGAGGCCCTAATCCCATTTACCCAACCAGTCCTTCAGGTAAGAGCATCTTTTGATGACCTGACACAGCAGAACTCGCTGAAACCTGAAGGCTTTTAACGTGCCCAGCAGATGAGAAAAAGGAGGAGAAAATCAATTTCAACAGATGATCTATCAGCAAGTACCAGAAGGTTGAATCCTTCTTCCATTCTGGTCCGTTTCTTTGAAATGCCCCTACTCCAGTTGAGTGTTGAGGCGTGCTGGTCTCAACTCAGAAGAAAATATTTTCAGATCTGATGGTGAGTATGGTCCCCTGATTACTCTGATTCCTGCCCAATAGTCTACCCCTTTCCCTGGGAAAATACTTTTGCTCCCAGAGCTTTCCGCAGGCTCAGACACAGTGCCCGGCCCTGTGTCCCAGGCTGGCAGTGCTTCAAGTGTTTTAAAGCTGACTGTCTCCGCTGGACTCACTAGCTGTTGGCTAATAGCTAATAATAGCAGTCATCAATTATCAAGCACTTGATATGGTGCCAGGAACTATGGTAAGCACTTTAGGGACATTAACTCACATATCCTTTCCACAACCCTATTTAAAAACAGAGAAACTGAGGCTGCATAAAGTCATTACTCATGATCACATAACAAACAGAACCTGATTTGTCTGGCTCAAGAAACCATGACCTTTACCACTAGGCTAGACTGCTGAGACCACCTACAGCAGAACACTAAGAGAAAACACACCAACGGATGGGCCCTGAGTTTGGGAACACCACCATAGCAACCCCAGAGCAGCAAATCACAAATCTTACCAGCAGCCACTGGAAAGAGAACAACACATGATCTGTGCTCAGTGCTCAAGAAGGACAACCTGCCCACTTCTCCCAGGTTAATTCTCCAGACCTTCTCCCAGGTCTGCCCAGCTGCCATGATCCAGGCAGGCAGGATACCCCTGGGCTCAGCCCCACCCGAGGTCGGTACTAGAATTAGTCCAAATGCCCTAAACTTGTTTTGTCCACCAGCATGATTAAAAGCTCCAGCTCTAAATCAAAGCCCGATTCTGCCACTGGCTAATTGTTTGAAACTAATGGAAATCTGAATTTCCTCAATCTGCAAAATGGTATTCATCTGGTAGAGCTGTTGTAAGGAAATGCAGATAAAAGGTACTTGGCACAAATTGTCTCCCACCATGCAGAGAACACTTGCTATGATCACTATTACTGTATCAGTAGTAGTAGTAGCCGAGTAGTATCTGGTTAGCCTGTTGGAAGCCCCAACTTGTCTCATTTGAACAATGGGTTCTAGGCCTGTTTCCCCATGCCTAGGCAGGGCTATTCCTGCCTTGAGTCATTAGCCTGGGTCTTGTTCAGAACCAGATTCTCACACCACAGCACTGACCCTACACCACGCCCAGGAATACCTAGAGGGCCAGACTCTCTACAGCACAGGATTTCCTTGTGATTGATCCTGAACAAAATCAAGGTATTTGCTATGCCGAATGGACACTGAATACTGGCCATGCCCTAGCCTTAACCTGGGACAGGCTTTCAGCCAGTTCCAAACTCCTTCCCCTTTCCACTTGGTCTCAGCTCTGTTGACGTGCAAATGACAAGATTTCTAGCTTTCTATTCGGTTCCCACTTGGCCCTCCTCCCTGTCACTGCCACCTCAGAAGTGGACAGCCTCAGCACAATCTGGGCAGCCCAGAGCCAAATTTTCAATAGTAATAGATATTAACAAATATCACTTTGTATTTGTTAGTATGTTATAATAGCTCTATCTAAACACAGCTCTATGGAGTAATTACCCCCATTTTACAAGAAAATAAATGCAGACACACTGAGGCCAAGCCTTGCTAGGAAAGGGGAAAACAGGAGCGGACTAATTAAAGACGAGCTCAGACAAACCTGGATTTGAATCATGGTGATGGCTAACTGTAACTAACTGTAACTGTCAGCATGAAACCTTAAAATGGAGCAGCTGTACCTTAAAGCTGCAGTCCCCAACCCCCGGGCCTCAGACCAGTACTGGTCAGTGGCCTGTTAGGGACCAGGCCTCAGAGCTCCGCCAAGTGCCCCCCTCCTCTGGTGGTACTCTGTGGAAAAACTGTCTTCCATTAAACTTATGGGGTGGGGGTGGGGGTGCCGCACAGCAGGAGGTGAGTGGCAGGAGGAGGGACGCTTCATCTGTATTTACAGCTGCTCCCTATCACTTGCATCACCGCCTGAGCCTTCTCCCCACCATCTGTGGAAAAACTGTCTTCCATGAAACCAGTTCCTGGTGCCAAAAAGGTTGGGGACCACTGCCTTAAAGGACTGATGAGTAGAATAAACGAGATAATCCATGTAAAGTGCTCTGCTCAATACCTGGCTCACAGAAAGCATTTAGTAAGCCTTAGCCCAGGGCTGGAGAACCTGCAGCCTTAAGGCCACAGGTGGCTTTCTTGGTCCTTAAGTGCAGCCTTTTGACTGAATCCAAATTTTACAAGAACAAATCCTTTTATTTTTATTAATATATTTTTGTTCATCTTTTATATTTTTATTTTTAAAATGAATGCATTTAAAGTCCCAAAGAATAAAATAATGCCACTGACGCAACTTATAAAGTAGCTTATATATTCGGGCAAAAAGGAAAGCCAATTAGTGATGTAGAATTTATGAAAGAATGTCAAAGTTGTAGGATGCTCTATTAGACTTCTGATAACATTTCAAAGTACAAACAACTGCCTCTTTCAAGGAGAATCATAACTGATCAGCAGCATGAATTAGACTTCAACTTAACAGAACAACTTCATACAATACTTCAAACGGAAAATATATATTATTCAATCACTTTGGATGAATCAATTGGTACTACTGACTCAGCACAGATTTAGGGTCATAACAGATGATTTTCTTGGATACAGTTACTCACTTTGGGCACTCTT